TTCACAGTTCTGCCTGGATGTTCTAGTTAAGCGCAAAGAAACAGGTGAACGATAATAAACTAATTTTTGCAGATTGGCGCTAAACCATTTAAAATTTTATATACTGTTTCCATATTTGAGAAAACTCTAAAATTCTCAAAAGAAAACAAGAYATATTTCTGCACAATCTGACAATGATGGTGTCTTAAAGGCTTTTTGTCCAATATTTTGAGGGCCTGTTTGTAACAAGACTCTACAGGTTTTGTCCCCAACATGAAATACAATATGAAATGTGTGAAAAAATGAGTGTATGCATGAATATCTTGGCCGATTCCAATGACAAACAAGATCTAACATGTCTAAAATTGACCAAGTTATATCGAACAGTTTGTGTCTTTTTTTTAATATGTTTCAGTTGAGGTTAGAATCCAAAAAAACTCCAAGATATTTAAACTCAATCACAGTATCAATTCGTTTACACTTGATATATTTGAGGTGTCCAATTTAGTCTTAGAGAAAAACAAAATAAGAGGCATAATGTTCCATTTTTGTTTTATCAATACTTGGTTTAATTAAATAATGACTTTAATTGCTGGATATTCGATCCCTCAGCTGTTGGCCTGCAATAACTGTGGCTGGATAAATTTATTTGAATAACCCTGGTGTATAATTTAAATCTAGTATTTGTACAACCATTTTGGAGGTTAAAATAATTTCTGCACATGCAAACAGTCAGTACAGGCACAAGGCCTAATCAGAGAACTGTAGCCAGAAAGTAGATGTCCCATGTTCATTGTATAATCCAGGATCAAGTAAAGACCAGCTGATTTAGTTGTAGCTCTAAATTCTACATAAGACAATAGAATGTAGAGTTAAGTAAGGATTATCCATGAATCTAATTAATTTAACAAAAAGCCACCTTCAAAAGGAACAAAGATAAAAATTGGGATGAGTTGTTTTATTTTTTAAGTGTAAAGTCTGTCTCTATCAAGTTTGTGTTACCAACATAGTCTTCAACCAGATTTTATTGTTTTGCTCATTTGTTGGACGAGTCTACCTGAAGTTATTTGGTTAAAAATACAGCCCTGTTCCACAGTGGCAAAATGCCCACATTTATACAAGTATTTCAGTTTTGAAAGTACCTGTGTTTATGCTTGGTTCGTATTTTGTCCACATACCCCTGGAGCTCCAAGCGTAAAGGTTTAATCATAGACTGGGGTCGGGCTCCACAATGAACCAGTCTGCACACTGCCCTTTCCGCTCCAGTTAGAGGACATGGTTCAGCAGTCATGATGAAAAGGTTCAAAAAACAAACTTAATGCTTAATAAATGATTAATTAAACTCTTTACATGTAAAGCCAAAGTTATTTCCTCAGACAAATCCCAAATAGGTCCATGATGGGATTTTTGGTCATTTCCATTTTGTTTTATATATGGCTCAAACCAAATCAAAAGTACTGAAACAAGTCCAGGAAATTTGGATACATTTTCAAAACTACGACCACAATCCATCTGAGATCACCCAAGAATAACATCTGTTTTTTCAAGTTTTCAAGTGTGTTTGAAAAAAATGAACAGATATTCCTTCACTGCAGTCATCAAAACGGCCAACAGGGAATCGGAAACCTTCACAAAACAACAGATCCAGTTACATCTGTACTTCTTGGAAAAACTACAGTTATTTGAAGGTCGTTATATCCCATGTTTTCCTCCCTCTAATCCAGTGGAATTCCATCAAAAGGCTGAGATGTTCTTTGGTGTTGTCAATCAGTTCTTAGGATCCAAACCAAAAAAATTTTTTTTTTCCTTTGACTATCCTCAACCAATTTTCAGCAGCAACAGTATAATCCATTGTTCTGTCGTTCAAAACAAAAGTTGTTTWCCATTCTGGGTTAAAGCAGAGGTACGTTGTACTTGACAAAGTTAGAGCAATGCTTGACCGCTGCTCCAGTCAGGGGATGAGATGGACACAGAACAACTAATCCTGTAACCTGCACCTCCTTACTAGACAGCATGTGATGAATTGAGTGGCCCAGACTAATCCACCTACCTGCTGACACTGGCAAAAAGTTAATTAGGACATCTGCAAAGATAGATAATCAAGATTGAAAGTGAGCTATTAAATGAATGCATCTCCCCTTGGATATAACATTTTAAAACAATACTTTTAGGTTTGTAAAGCCTAAAAATCTTTATTCACCTAATTATATATATAT